TCTCCCAAGGAGCCTAAAAGCAGGAGCAAAAGGCCACACCAAGTTCTTACACAGTCAGCTGAGCAGATGGTCTGTGCTCACAGAAATGCCTCCTAGTTCCTAGTGCTCTTGGTAAGAGCTGGTACATGTTCAGCAGTTCTGAGAAGCACAGGAGGTATCTCCACCATCCCATCCATCTAAAACAAAAATGTTGCCCTGAAAAGGAAATAACTTCTCTCACCATCTGAGCAGGATTCATTATAACGACTTCAAAGTGTAACTGTTTGTGTTCCCCACCCCCAACCTTCCTGATAGTCTCAGATTAGAGACTTCTCATTAAGATATCTTAATCTTCTTTTAGAAAATGTCATTTTTAATTTGATTAGAGCTATATTTTGGGAAGGTTTCTCCAGCGTTTAAGAGCTCTGCTAGCAGCACTCCAGCTCGGTGTCCTCAGCTCAGCAGAAGGCTGAGTGCTAACACCCAGGAGTGCTGGGACCAGTTCTGGGCCCTCTGCAGGAGAGACATGCAGGGGCTGGAGGTGCCCAGGGCAGGGGACAGAGCTGGGGAAGGGTGTGCAGAGTCCATCCTGGGAGCAGTGGCTGAGGGAGCTCTGGGTGCTCAGCCTGGGGAACAGGAGGCTCAGTGAGACCTTCTCAACTTTCTACAACTCCCTGACAGGAGGTTGTAGCCAGGTGAGGGTTGATATCTTTTTCCAGGCAACAGGAGAAGAGGAAATGGTCTCAAGCTGTGCCAGGGGAGGTTCAGGTTGGCCATCAGGAGGAATTTCCCCATGGAAAGGGCTGTCAAGCATTGGAAGGGGCTGCCCTGGATGGTGTTGGAGTCACCATCCCTGGAGGTGTTCAAGGAATGACTGGACATAGCACTCAGAGCTTTGCTCTAGTTGACAAGGTGGTGATGGGTCACAGGTTGGACCTGCTGATTTTGGAGGTCTTTTCTAACCTGACTGATTCTGTGATAGATTCTTCAAACCAAACTAGTACTGGCACCAGTGCTATGTCTTTCAGAGGACTGTCCATGAGCTTCAGCTGTGAGATTGGAGCTGTTGGCTTAGTTTTAAAGATAAAAGGAAAAAAAATCGAGAGGAGACTTCCCAGCCCTGTCCTCTGAGAAAAAACCCTAAAAGCAGCTGGTGTTGTTTGAAACTTTTAAGTTCTTATTCTGTGTGGATGACACGTGTTTTGGGGAGAATGAGGCAAGAACTGTGGTTTATACTTGTGAACTTGCCTAGAATAGAAAACAGATTTCACACTTGAGATGGAATAGGAAGATATCTGAGTCTCTTTGGAACTCTATCTTTGGCTATGACGTCTGTGTGCTCTCCATGGGAAACTGCTTGAGCACACACACACCAAATGGGACAATGGCAAGTGGTAAAATAAATACACCTTTACACTGAGGTGGCCACTAGGTTATAATTGCTGGAAAAGCAGAGGTGCTGAAAATAATTGGGAAAAATAAACCTTGAACTAAATCCAGAGAGTGAATGAGGGTGGTGAGACACTGGCCCAGGTTGCCCAGGGAGGCTGTGGCTGCCCCAACCCTGGCAGTGTTCACAGCCAGGTTGGATGAGCCTTGAGCAACCTGCTCTGGTGGGAGGTGTCCCTGCCCAGGGCAGGGGTTGGGGCTGGATCATCTCTAAGCTCCATTCCAACCCCTAAAATTCTATGAAATGAGTTCCTAGATTGAATTCCTGACAGTTAATGAAAACACCACTCAGCATATACGGCTTGAAAATCCATTGTTAATGAACAGCATTCAATTCTTAATTGTCTTTTTACCAATTCAGTCAAAATCATTGACACAAAATACATTGTTAAACTGCTTAATCAATCATTGTAGAAAAATAGAGGTGTTTGATAGGGACATTCTAGTACAAAGTTTCCTTGAAGCTTCCCCCGTTGAAAGCTTTGGGGGCTTCTAGTTTTGTTTTTTTTTTAAAGCTTATGTTACAAAAATGAGATTTCAGAAACTTTACAATCCATCCTACATTAATCCCAAAGACAAGGAAATCCAGGGGGAGAGAGAGAGAGAGACAAACACACACACCTTAAGCTGGAAGTGCCCTATTCACAAAAATATAGCTTACACATGCGCATGCCCCAGTGGCTGAAAATCGAGTTTTTTGTGCTAAAAGGACACAAAACAAAGGTTTCATCAGGGCCCTGAGCTGCTGTTCTAGTTAATGCAAATGTTGTTAGGCTGCAGCAATGGATTCTAGAGTGGGCCAGTAAATGGCAAGAGCCAAAAGCAGGTTTATCCTCAGAGGAAGGTTTTGCTTTCAGCTCATGCACCTCTCGCTAGGACTGACACGTGTGGGTGCCTCAGTGCCTCCCATGTCGTGCTCCCCCTTGGCTCCTCTGCTTTCAGAGGGACTGTGGAGCCACCTTTCCTTAAAACTCACAGTGCCCCTCATGGGTAGCCTTGTGGGTGGGATGGATGGACTGGAGCACTTAGCAGCTGCTGCTGCTGAGGCAGAAGAATGAGCTTGGAAAGGTCTTTAGCCAAGCAAGTGTTGTCTGCAGAAGGTGGGTGAGGGTGGTGAGACTCTGGCACAGGTTGCCCAGGGAGGCTGTGGCTGCCCCAACCCTGGCAGTGTTCACAGCCAGGTTGGCTGAGCCTTGAGCAACCTGCTCTGGTGGGAGGTGTCCCTGCCCAGGGCAGGGGTTGGGGCTGGATCATCTCTGAGCTCCATCCCAACCCCTTAACATTCTGTGATTCTGTAAGTAAAGTGTAAGTAACCTTTACTGAGTGGGCAAAATCAGCCACCCCAGGTGGAGGGAACAAAAAAAAAATCCTTATCCTGCACCATTTCTTGCTGCTTTGTGAAAGCCTTTTAGTGGGAAATGTTCAGAGCTGAAACCAAAAACTCTTTCCATCCAACCTGATTTGGCAGTCCCTGGTGTGTGACCCTTTCCTTCCCCACACCCTCTGCTCTGACCTCAGACTCTGCTCTCCTCAGCTTGGAGCACAGCTGAAGGACCTGCAGAGCCCCCCACCCATGAGCCACACTGCAGATTAGCAAGGGGCAGTCTTCAGCATAAAAAAACAACAAAAGGAGGAAAATAGGTGTGAATTTAATGCGAAAGCTATATCACAGTGCAAATTTTCCACCTGCCCACCAAGTTTCTCCTGAGGTTATATTTTATTTTGTTTTTCTCTCTTCTATTTGAACACAAATGTTTCTGTACGAAAATGCTTCAGATTCTCTTCAGTGTATTCTTTCTTCCTGGGGTAGGCAGGTTTGAAAGAAACAAAATTAAGGCTGCAGCTTCTTCTCCTTTGCTGACAGAAATGCTGTTCGTGACGGGGCTGAGTGAAAGCCCATGGAAAGTGATGCTTTTTTTTGCCACAGGAAATGTTTTATGGGCCTGGCTGAGTGGTCCTTAGCACTGGGCAATGCCACAGGGTGTGAGTAGCCCATCCAGGACATCATGACCCACCATCAGTTCCCTGACTGGTGTGGGTGTTGCTGTGTAAGCGATGCAACTTCTCTCTGCCCCATGAAAGTTGTCGAGGTGGAATGTACAGGATTTACAGTGATTTACAACAGCCAAGGAGCTACCTAAAAGATGAAGAAAACTCATTGGGGAGCCAATCTGCTGAGTACAGGCAGCAGGATCCATGTGGTGAGCTGGGAAACCTCGTTGAAGAACATACCCAAGGGTGTTGTGCCACCCAGGACTGCACCAAGCATCGGCGCCGTCACCAAGGGACAAACTTCAGCTTCACACAAATTCCAGGTGGTGGTTTGTTTGGTTATGTTGGGGTTTTTTTCCCAGCTGAGTAGCTAAAATCTACTCACTAAGGTACAACATTCAGTTCTCAATGGCTTGTGCTGTTTGTGTAGCAAACAATCCCATGGTTTGGGTGGGGAGAAGGGAGAAGTTTCCCTAGATATTGCACAGAAAGGATAATACCTCCACATGACACATGCTATATTGAGTATACAGGAAATTCTCTTTAGCCATGAGTTTTGCCACAGCCTAAATTTTAGGTTGAACTGCCCCTCCCCCCCCAAAATATAAAGGAACCAGGAATGGTTTTTGCCTTATTTGTAAACATTTTCACAGTATATCAGGAATTCTGGTACAATTTCTCTACCCTGCCCTCTCCCAGACTTATGGCTTTTTAGAGTCAGTGAAATTATCTGTTTGGCAATCAGTGAGGTACTCTAAATAGCTGCCAGTCTGGTACACTGAAGAAAATGTCATGCACTAGAAGAGTCATATAGGGGGAGGGGGGGAAAAAGGAAAAAAAAAAAAGGTAAATCAGTATTACACTCCAAATATTTGAAGAGGAGTTCCTATTCCATGGGTAGTTAGTTTTTGCATCCCAATAGTTCTAGAGCTCTGTTTCTAAACCTACATTTATTACACAGCTGTGTACATTATTTAGAAGTTCTTTACTACAGTACTTTTGTACATGCAGTGTTTATTACTAAATGGAAAGAGAAAGTAATTACATAAGGCATATGTACAGGATCAGGTTGGATTGCAGGTCCCTCTGCTCACCTTTCTCTTAAAGCTGCAAGGCCCATTTCAGAGAGGTTTGTCACCCAGTTAGTGAAACTGTCCTGAAATACATAAAAACCCAAAGCCAAGGCCCATCACTTTGATGAACATTGATTAGTCTTTCCTTTTAAATCCCTTGTGAATATTTCCATTGCGTTTGGGGTTTGGTTTTGTGTTGTGGATGTGGATAAACCTGGAGGTCTGAACTCAGAGAGGTGCTGAGGGAGCCAGAAGTCCTTGCCAGGGTGGGGATTGAGATTCCACCATGGATAATGGGTGTTGCAGCTTTAACCCACACCTTTGCTTAGTCTGTGAATCTCTTGAGCTTAAATTGGGCAAGTAGATATTTCGCATCTGAAGTATTTGTTTTCCAGGAACTAAGAATCATAGGAAGGAAAAAAAATTAAAGGCATGTTGCAGAAAGAAACAGGGAGCAAAGAGGGAGAAGATAAAGGAGGTGGTGTGGCCCTTATGCTTCTGTTGGTTCTACACTTTGGACTCATTCTCCAAGTTGGCCACATCACCATTTCTTTCATTTTGGTCTTCTTGATTCTTCTCTTCCTCCTCAGTTTCCAGCTCAGCATGTTGGTCCAGCTTGCTGGAAACAGACCATGTCAGGGGCAGTTCTGCTCGACTGGCCATCTCTGCCAGCTCTTTGGCACTGTAAACTGGGGTGTTGGTCTCATAGGTTTCATGAAAACTGTTGTAGTCAACTTCATAAAATCCATCCTCCAGGGTGAGGACGGGAGTGAAGCGATAACCCCACAGGATCTCACTCGTGATGTATGAGCTTCGAGCTTGGCAGGTCATCCCTGTAACAGAGAAGGAAGAAGTGCTGTGAGAAGGATCCACTGCTTTCCCCAAATCCTTAGTTACTGTTTTTCATCTAGAAGAAGGCACATACCAGAAAGGAATCAGATTTGACATCATACAAGGTTGAGCTCAGAAAGGAGTTTTAGAGTGTAAATCTATCTGATGCCCTTTCCTTCCATACATGTGCATAATAACAAGGGCTAAGAATGAGAAAAGATTAACAGCTCTTTATTAAACTCAGTTCTTCTTCTTCTGGACTTCATCAGTGAGTGACTCACCTGCTGCTGAGTCTCAGGTGGTTTACTGAGAGCCTATGTGCCTTGCACTGTGCCATCTCCTGGTTCCTTGGTGTGCAATGAACCCACTCTGCCACATTCAGCTCTTGCCCAGGCTCACAGGAACTCACACTAAAGCTTTTCTCTGCTGGAGCTCACCCTGAGCCTGTGATCCATGAGGTGACTTGGCTTGGTAGTCACCTTTTAGTGACGCTGCTTTGAGGGTTGTGCTGGTGGCCAGTGCACAAACCTCAGCAAAGCTCCTGGAGGACATGTGATAGTGTCTGATGTTGCATTGGGGGAACTGGGACTGACTTCTTTGTTGTCTTCTCTTCACAGCTCTGCTGAAGCTCACTCTGGGAGCAGCTACAGGGCAAAAATATGTTATATTTTGTTCAGAGGCTCTTCCAAGCTCAATGCATAGTCCAGAGTGTCCTCTGGGGGAAGAGCCACCTGGCCATGGCAGGGACCTGTGACTTGGAGAACCTGCCTCATCTCACACAAAAACTCAAGGAAGAACTACAATAAAATACTGATGGTCAGGAGTGGAAGGGGAAACCCAGCTGACCAGAAAAAATACCAGGAGAATTGAATTTAAGAGGTAAAACCATGAATGCTGACAAAATGGGAGTACATGGAGAGAATGAGATGATTTCCCTTGGATTATTGCACATTATTAACTATGTATTACTAAGCAAACTTCAGCTGAACAGTATATATTGAATACTTAGTAAATATCCCTGGACCACCCTGGACACAATCCCTGGACCACCCTGGCACACCTCAGTTACTTTGAAGGTAATAAGCACAAGCAATGAAGAAAAGATGTTTAATTTTAGGAGCACAAAAGGCAAACCAGAGCAATGCCCATTTTATCTCTGCACTGGTGGCATCATGTAAAGTCACATGGAGGGTCTTGGGAAGAGCCAACATTGGGAGTTCAATGTCCCCAGTCTTTTCCAGGGCTGCAAACTGCTCCAGGGAATTCTGCTCTCATTCTCTTGAGCCTCCTCTCTAAGCGCTCCCAGTTTGCTTCTGATGGCTGAAAACTGCTGTTTCTTGGTGCTCTGTTTTGTTCACTTACAACATTCCCTTTAGAAAGACATTTACCAGCTGTCACCACACTGTGGTACCTCAGCCCTTCTCCAGGGTTTTCCTCCACTTCCTGCAGTGGCTCAGACCCTGTGGAGCAGTGACTCCCAGGGAAAGCTGCTGCACCAGA